TGCGCCAGCTTGTACAAGGGGCGCGAACGCAGAACTCCCTGGTGGTTGATGTAAGAGACCACCGCTGTGTTGTCGGTGCGCACCAACACATGGTGACCTCTTAGATCTGGGGGAAAGTGTTTCAGAACTCGAAACATGGCCAGCATCTCCAGGCAGTTGATGTGCCAAGTGAGATGGCAACTGCTCCACAGACCGCGGGCAGGGTGGCCACTCATGACCGCACCCCAACCGGTGAGGGATGCATCCGTTGCTAGCGTTACACGGCAACAAGGAGCTCCCAGCACCGGGCCCTGAGACAAGAACCAAGGTTTCTTCCACAAGTCTAAGGCACATAGGCACCTCCGCGTGACCTTGAGCATGCAAAGCAGGTTTCCCCTCGGGGAGAACCCCTTGGTATCTACCTCTTGTTCCATTACCAGAGCCTGCTCAGGACCCACCAGGGTGGGAAGAACCCCGTTGAAGGGAGGAGAAGGAGAACCAAACTGGATTCTGTAACCCCTTTCTACAGTGTGCAGGACCCACTGAGACATATTTGGCAGTAGTTTCCACGCTGCTATATAGTGTACTAAGGGAATCAGTCTCTCGAGACTGACCATTGGTGTAATTGAAGCGGCTAGCTCGGTGCGGACAGCCGAATTAGCTGCTCTAGAGACCTCCGTGGAGGCGGCGAGTCTCTTAGAACCGCTACGTTTCCGGGTGGTAACTGAGAGCCCTGGAACACCGACAGGGGTTTCCGGGCGGTAGCTGAGAGAAGCGCTCGCGGGAGACCGCTGCGCCCTGTAACACCGGCAGGGTTGGCAGACTGATCTCATGAGGGCACTGAGGAGAGACGGGCACCGTGTAATGCGGTGAACCCCGCTCTACCCCAGAGGGGCCTGCCCTGAGAAGTCCTGAGGCACTGGCATCAGGACTTCTTGGTCGAGGACTACTTAGCCTCCAGAAAAGTTATTAAATCTGGTTTCGGCTTTGAAGCCCCGACCCAGAGCGTCGTTTCGACCCCTGGTCCCGACACGGGGGAGCGCGAGAGGCGACGTCTGCTTGTGGGTGTCCCTGTACGAGGAGCCAGTACACGGAGGGGGTTGTCCTTTTCTTTCATATCTGACCGGGTCAACCACAGATGCCTCTCCGCTGCCACCATAGCTGCCATGGACTGCAACCGCGACCGCTCCCCGGGGGGAAGAAACCGCAGAACGGGCTTCCTCGTGAGCCAACTCTGCGTGCTTCGCTCCCAAGCAAACCATGCACAGACTGTGTATCCCCGCTCGTAATGTAACGCAGGCAGGGAGGAACACACAGCCTGTAACGCAATCTGCTCTCGCCCTTCAAATGCTTGTCTTAGCCTCAGCCTTAGACATACAACACCAAATAAGGCTTACAAACAGAGAGAGTGACTAACACAACACAGAGCGCTTTGATGAATGACAGAAAGCTGACGCCAGAAGGATAGCATTTATTTTACTTAAAGTAACTTTAATACATTAAAATTTAAATTAATACATTATTATTTGTATTGTGTGGTAATTGTTTTATAAAAGTAATAAGGTACTCGAGGTGTGCTGTATGGGAATGATAGCCTATGCAATTTTTTATTTTGTCATTTGATCTGAATATATATCATCATTTGTGAGATTTAATCAGTCGAAACAGTTCTGTGGTTAATTGATCTAAGTAGGGATCTCTGACATTGAAGTATGTTAAATATCTGTGGACACATCAACGTTTTTAGATTTGTGGAGTGAAAGTTGTAGTTTCTATTTTGACGTAATAAGATAAAATTAGACCCGTGAGCTGCACAGAAGGCCCTGAGCGGCATGTTGTTACTAGTGTTATTATTTTAAAGGGGTCATATGATGCTGCTAAAAAGAACATTATTTTGTGTATTTGGTGTAATGAAATGTGTTTATGCAGTTTAAGGTTCAAAAAACACATTATTTTCCACTTACTGTACATTATTGTTTCTCCTCTATGCCCCGCCTTTCTGAAACGCATCGATTTTTACAAAGCTCATCGGTCTGAAAAGCGAGGTGTGCTCTGATTGGCCAGCTATCCAGTGCATTGTGATTGGCCAAATACCTCAAGCGTGTGACGCAAATGTTACGCCCCTTACCATATTGTTATGCGCTGTCCGGCCGGAGCGATGAGACAAAAACATTAAAACCCATTACAAGAGCTTGTAACACTCCAAAGAGAAAGGAAAAATTGAAATCGCATCATATGACCTCTTTAAATGTAACACTTATTGTAATTATTGGGGTTGTTATATAATATTTCCTTGAATTAGATTTACATTTCAGACATCTTCACTTTTAGTAAAACCTATAGCGTGAGTGAAATCATTAAATTTGCATTTATAGTGTTGCTGACATACCTTCAATTAAAATATGGGCAATTACATATGTAAATGCATGTGCCTGTATGTAAGTATTTTCCTAATTCATAAATGAGACCTGTTTAGTTGGTTAATAATAAAAAGTCGTGAACCCAGTTTCAGCATATTTTTATTTAAGAGAACAAGGGATTTTTCAGGAACTTGTCAAATTCTTATTTATATATTTTTATGCAAGACAACATGAGTGAAACTATTTCATCTGTGGGGTTTATTGATGTTTAAAAATATTTTTCATCATTAAAAGTCAAGGGAATTGTTTGTCACCATATTTTAATAAAGATCCACATACATGCATAAAAGTTGTGGATGCGTGCACAAGCTGCAGTGAAGCATTAAGGCTCGTGAAGCACATATAAAGGAAGGAAACCCTGCTCTACTTCACGCGTCTGATCTTCATGCTGATGGACTTCAGAGAATTCCAGCTCTTCTTCCAGTAGTACCAGGTGGCTCCAGTATTTGTCACTCTATTATCTTTCTCCCACAGATAGTTACCAGTGGGGTTTGTGTAATAACATTTGTTGTACCAAAATCCTCCTTGATAGTATTTCAAAGCGCAGTTGTCTGCTGAAAGATCTTGGTCTTTGTCAAAGGTGGAGAACTTCATTCCATTGTGTGGACTCAAGGAGTCACCTGCAGAAAGGAGAAACTTTCATTATAGAGGCACTTTCACCTGGACATCTAAAATAAAATAGTTTTTTTTTTTAAATGAATAAAATAGGTTTTATTAGGTTTTAAACATTATGGTTTAAAAATCATTTTAAAACTCCATTACTATCGTTATATTTACTTAAATTCTTCATTATAAACATCTGTGGTTTGTTTCACCTGCTCCTCCATCTACAAAGCCGCTCACATGCAGTTTGTACCCATCAGCCTCAGAGTCCACAGAGAAAGACTTGTATACAGCGTAAGCCTTCTGCCCTTCAAAGTCTTCCAAATCCACTCTGAGTTTATACTGATGCCTGCGCGTCAGCTGATGAATGAACTCTACGCCTGTTAAAAACATGAAATGAAACTGGTTTAATAACCTTAATAACAAACATAATCTGCATTTATACTGCAGTTCTGATTAAATGTCTTTGATTGTTTACTTATTATGTCCCAAACGTCTCAAAAACACTCACCCAGCCAGTATTCGCCGTCTTTATTACCAAAACCCCATTTATAACTCTTCCACGGCCTAAAGAAATTCACCTCGCCGTCCATCCGCCTGAGAATCACCTGCGATAATCAGAAATCATTCATCACTTTCACACAATCACGTCATTGGTGTACAACCTTCGACAAGCTTTGTTCTGCAACAAATGTAGATTCTGTAGTGTGATTTCAATGACTGTTTTCTAAGAGCACAAATAAAAGACCTGAGCGACTATTTGAATAATAGTTTATTAGAAATCATGGTGTCATTCACACTGGGGTGCATCTGATAATAAAATATCCTTTTGCGAGATGAAACACATTGAAATGCGTACCGTCCAGTGTCCTCTGTCATTTTGTCCGCCGGAGACCATCTCACAGTAAACCTGCAGCGGTCCATCTACTGAGGAGACGGAGTACACGCCACTGGTACTATATCCACACGCATAAACATCAGAGCAGTCTTTGGCAAGAAGACAATTGGATTTGACCTCTTCAGTGCCCATCAACACGGGAAACAGCGCAGACAAACACAGCAACACCTGAGAGACACAAACTCAAGATCTGAGTCTGATGATCGACGTCTGATAAAATCACACTCACATTCTCACATACACAAACTCACAATCATGTTTGTGATCATCGCTTCAGACGTCCAGCTCAGAGGATCAGGTGCACCTGAAACACAGTAAATACAATCACTTTGTTAGAACATGAACATGCAAACATGCAAAAAAAAAAAAACAACATAATTTTAAAAATGACCAGAATCAAACTCACCGTGTGAGCTGAGAATCTCATGAATGTTCAGGTGACGGATTTTTAAATATAATTCTAATCATCAGGATCCTCCTCTTTATCTGACATTTACAAAAAAAAAAAAAAACTTCAAATCCTCATAGTACAGTCATGGGTTCGATACCATAAAAGGAGAAGTTTTTGCTTTATCATCATCAGAGGAATTGAAAAGGACATTTATTTCAACATTGATGTTATCTGATTGCAACAAACCCCTCAAGAAAAGTTCACCCCAAAATGAACATTTCGTCATCATTTATTTACCCTCATGCTGCTCCAAACCTGTATGAGTTTCTTTCTTCTGTTGAACATTAAATATGTTATTTTGAAGAATGTTGGTAACCAAACAGTTGTTGGTAGCCTAAGGCTTAAGGCTTCTTATAGCTTAAGGTGTTTGCTGACTTTTCCTGATGACTTTATGATATGCAGACATAAAAAAAAATCATTATCATGATGTCGGTGACTATAATTACACAACATTGCAGTGACATGCTGTTGGCTTGCTGTTAATGGAGAAGGTACGAAGCAAAATGTGTTTAACCACAGTAATGTTAACACTGAAATGCACACGGTTATCTTTCAATGAGATGCACATTACAGTTGCGTTCATTATTCTAGCAACAGTAGGAGCTCCGGTGGCATTTTATTTAAAGTGAATGCAGGGCCGGTGAAATTGGTGAAATATGGACTAACCCAGCTGTTGTAACCCCATATTTGACCCAAAGTTGGGTTGAAACAACCCAGCATTTTTTAGAGTGTGCCAGAAATGGATGAATGTACAAAGATTTAAAGGAAGAAAAAAGTTGCGCCATTATCAGACAGAATCTGATAAGTTGCTCGAGTAAACAACAGGATGTTTGAAGTTTCTTAAGAAGTTTTGATCACCAGTGTGACAAGATGAAGCCTCCAGCATCATCCATCTACCCAGCTAACAACAATATTCTAAACATGTTTTGCTAATGTTCCCATTAATAAAAACATATCTTAATGTTGTCTCAACATTCAAAACTTCCAGTTTTTAAGCATTCTTCCTTGTTTACGTGAACATTAAGGAAACATTCCATTTTATCATTTGCAAACATTATGGGAATGTTACTTTTGAATGTTCCACGAACATTCTAAAACGAGTAACATTTAAAAAAAAACATTCGATGAATGCTAAAATGATTCGGGAAAGAAAAGTTCCATGAACTATGTTTTTGTGTTTACATTTATATACATTATTAAAGAGCAGAGAACTTTGAACAAACATTCTATTAATGTTACTGGAAGAACGTTTGTTCATAACTTTGTGAAAACGTACTCGGTTACTAACGTAACCTCGGTTCCCTGAGATACGGGAACGAGTACTGCGTCGCTAGACGCTACGGGAAACTCCTTTTCTCCGATTTACTGAAGCCTTTTTTTCAATCACAGCAGTGCATCTGCACTGCCATTGTTTCAGAAATGAACCAATGATGGCGAAGCAGCGTGCCCGAGCCCGCCAAAAATGGGCGGGGCATCTGGCTATATAAGCAGGTGCTCGGCATAGGATCACTGATTCATATAGACTGAAGCGACGACAGAGTCGTGCAGCATCATAGCACGGCTAGCTACGCAGTACTTGTTCCCGTATCTCAGGGAACCGAGTACGTTCCCTTTCGATACTTCACTTCGTACTGCGTCGCTAGACGCTATGGGAACCTATTCAATCACACCGTGCTATGGTAGATGAACGACTTATAAGTAATTGTCCAGGGCGTCCAGAAGGGGGCCCTGTAGATCAACTACAATGAAGCAGGCCATAGCCAGAGACCCGGATTTTTATTATATTTATCATTTATATAGGCTATATATCATCATTATATATAGTTATATACGCGCTTTGTACAACATTCAAAACTATAAGTGGCCTGTAAGGAGATATTTCATATTTCAACCAATTTTACTCTGAAAAGCTGATTTTAATCTGACAATAGCCTGTTTGGAAATTTCCAAATTTAGATTTAAAATTGGCTATAGCTGAGCAACATTTTAAATCATGAAGGTAATAATAAAAGGCTTACTCGTCAGGAATTATATCCTCCGCTGTGTCCATACGTTCTAATCCAAACGTTCGTCATCCGAGTCGCGTTCTTCCTCTGAGGAGAAAGTCAACTCTTCGTCACTGTCCAGAACCATCCGAAGTGCTTCTTCACCCGTGTAGCGTGCCATCATGCAAACGCGCAGAAAAAGTAAGTAATTCTATGATGAAGCTTGACGTTTTATGCCATTTCTCGGGGGCGTGTACATGATTACCTGGCTCGCCTCAGTTCATTTCCATATGAACAGCGCGCTCAGAGCGGGGCGGGATCACATTAGCTATAATGAGGCGATACGGGAGAAACCGGACCACTCCTTACTTTCATACGGATTACATAAAAATCAATTATTTGTTTTCGACTTGAATTGGTTAATTTAAAAGTAGACATTTCAAGCTTTCTATACATATATTTCTCTTGTCTTTGAGGCAATTGAGGCAAGAGATTCGGGTTGTTTTATTTATGTGTCTGTGAAGAGAGATGACAGAGACAGAGATGGCAGAGATGGCAGAGTGTTTATTTTCTTTATTCTACAAAAGCACAGCGTTTTGTTGTTTTTATGAGTGTATAAAAATAAAAGTAGACCCTTTACAGATTCGATTGATGTATTGCTCTTATCTGTACGATCAAAACTGAAAGTGTAATTTAAGTTCTTTTCGGCGTTATCAGGAGAAAATGGCACAAAACGCGTATCCGCGTTAGTCGACCTATAATGTACGTTCAAATACTGAGGTGCTAAACCATTCAGGGCTTTATAAGTAATTAGCAAGATTTTAAAGATTTTAAA